GCCTGAGGCTGTGGAGAAGGAGTGGCAGGGGGTGCAGAGGCAGCAGGGGGCAGGCAGTAATGCTGCATCTCCAGCCCTGACCAGGGTTGGGGCCAGACCTGGAGCTACAACAGATATCTGCCCTCCATTGCCTCATACCGGACATCAGGGGCTCTGATCAGGTATGCCTGGCTTTGCCAAGCTCCTGAGTCATTACACCTGCCCCCAATACCTGGCTAATGCCCCCAGTTCTCCACAATTGGACTGGCAGCTGAAAGCACCACTCACACCTTATAACCATATCTGCAGTCTCAGGCTGCAGACATGCCTTCATACAGCCTCAGTCTATTCTAGCAAGCCTTGTGTCTCCTAGCTCCTGACCTGGCTTTGGCTTTCCTTGGCTCTCCCCTGTACCTTGGTTCTGGTGCTCTCTCTGGTTTCTCTGAAACCATGACTCAGCTTGTCTTCCTTGACTCTAACCTCAGCTCTTCCTTGGAACTTGGTACTAGGTCTTGAACTCCTGGCTCCTGACCTCACCTTACGGTTCGTACTACATCACTCAGATTTCATCTCCTGGCTCCCTTGGAACTTTGTCTCACACTCTCCGCTCTGCCAACACAGACCCTGATCTGATGCTTTGGTAATCTGCATCCCTGCCTTGCTGACCCCCAAGTTACTCCTAGTGGCCTACTGCAGGCCCAGCTGCAGTAGGGCCTGCAGTAGGCCATCCCAGCCAAACCCTCACACTCAATACCAAGATGGGCTTTTCCTCTCTGTGTTAAATAGGGGAAAAAACCTCCTTCTGAACACAAGTAAGTACAGTACTTCATTCTCCCGTGAAGATCTGTCTAGGTCAGTTAGAGTACCCATGCAAAACGCAGGAAAACTGAAATAGAATGAGATGACTTATTGGTCTCTAGCCTAATATGTGCTCTTTAATTTTTTTTTTTTAAAAAGCATGAATTATAAAAACTCAATTTAGGGCTCTCTGAAGTTAATGCTACTTCAGCAATACTTCAGGTATTGCTATTTCAAATTTGCATATGTAAAGTTGCTCAGAGTCCAAGTATTAATTTGAAGATGTGCAAGACAGAAGCCTTTCATTCTCTCTAGATTTACTAACAAAAAAGAACTATATATATCAAAATCTGATGATACTGTCTTAAATGCATATGCTATTGTACCAGATAAAGTTGTGCAGTACAACTGGAGAATATTGGAACTATGTCCTGAAGAAACTTATTGCATTTTGGTAAGTGTATTATACATTCAATGCAGAGAGAGAGGTATGAGTAGTGAGAGAAATATATCAATGGTCTAAAACACAAGTAGGTTATAACATAATGCAATACTTAATAGAATTAAATGCATGTCACAAGCCAGGGGGAAGTGGGGGGAAGAAGGAGCCTATATACACTCCTTTTGCTGTCTTGCACTCATTCTCTTTTTGATTTCTTGTTATACTATTAATTACCAGTAACAGTATAACCTGCTCTTTTTATAGCCCGGGATAGGCAGATGTGGACAAGTGTACTTCTAAAGTGCTGAGTCGATGCAGAGAAAAACAGAATAATAATAACAACAACAACAATAATAAAAGGCTCCTGGTAGTGAGCCAAGTGGAAGACAAGGTTCCTTTGCTACTACCTACAGTTGTTATATTTCCAGTGTGGCAGCACTAACCTTTTCCCCAAATATCTGAAAAGTCTGTAATATAAGTATGTACATATATAGGAATTTGCCTGTATATTTTTCAACACACTTTGTACAAGGTACAAGCAAGAATAAGCAGCTCCATTTTACACTGGAGTGACTGAGGTATAAAGAGGTTAGGTGATTTAAAATGAGATAAAGTCAGAATAGGACTTAGAACCAGCCTCTTAACTTCCAGCCCATGCCCAAACCACTGGTAGATTTATAGTGGTCCGATATATGACAAAAATGCCAACTGAGGTGGTATCTTGAACAGTGTCTTTTAAAAAATGAGTGAAACCACTTCTGACTTGCTGACCAACCCACATTGCCAAAATTGACAGATTACCTCATTTGTTCTAAAACAGCATTAATTTCTTAACTGAGGAGTATTAGCCAAAATAGGTTACCCACCTCCATCTCTGACTAGTAATGTAGGTTGCTTGCAGACATTAACAAAACAAACGAACAAATGGTGCTTTGCTTTAAACTTGGCATGCTCCTGCACTGAGCCCAGAGCATGCCCGGAAGAGGCAGCACGTCATTTGGACCTGGCTCACCCAACGTCTGTATAGATTGGGCGCTTTAGTGGGGGTGGGGGTTTGGCACTTTTATCTAACAGGTGATTGAATCAGCTTTATATAAAAGCTCCAAAAACCCCTGCTGAAGTGCCCAATCTATGCAGATCCTGCAGAGCCCAGTCAAAGTAGTATGCTTCTTCCAATAAAGTACATTTTGTTTGTTTGTTTTTTAATGTCTACAAGCAACTATAATCTCCAAGAAACAGCCAAACCACAGAACAGAGTAGTCAGTGATTTAATAGGTACTACATGAACTTAAAACTATCTTCTGAAAAAAAACCCTGTTGGTCATAAGAGGCTGCAGAGTATTCAAGCATAGCAAGCACTATAAAATAATTAAACAATAGATAAAAATTGTAGTGTCTATAATACAAATTATAGTTCTAAAATATAAATGAGTATTTATGTGCGTATATATCTTAGGAGAAAATAAGATAACTTTCTTTTTGTACACATATAAACATTTGGGTAATATGCTCATGTATAGATTTTTGGACAACTTCCTTATTTAGAACTAAGTTTTAAATAACAGTATTCTATACAATCTCATAGAATATTTTCTCTAAAATTAAAACAGTATTTATATAGAAATAAACAGAATTATCTAGGACAATCCAAAAGAGCATACTGAATAAATTAACATCAGAAAATTGTGGTTATATTGTTCTGAAAGTCCAATTCTCTCCCCCTTTGAAATGAAAGTAAGACCATTGTACCTTAGTATGGATTATTTACCAGTGCACAAATTCATTCTTTCTTTACATAGGAATCTTCATATGAAGTTGGTTGCATTTAGTGAAAGGCAAGAGACATTAAAGATCAGCACTGCACACACTACACAAAGCTGCATTGCACTGGATTGGAATAAGATTTCTGTTGAATTAAGTCAATATTTTATAACTGTCCAAATCCTAGTTACCTTTGTGCCTTCATAAAATTTACATCTTGAATTAGCAGCAATATATTTAATAGGTTCAGTAGTATATTTTCTCCAGTACTGGATTGGGCTTTTTGCATATGGAATAAGCTAAAGGGTCTAGCAGTCATGCGCAATACTAGCCCATGCTTGAAACTGAAAACTAAAAAGATACAGAGAAACAAAGATTATAGAGGTTCAGACCTCTAAATATAAGCTTACATTTACAATGTTTAAATAGGAGAAATAGAATATAGCAAAACAAAATATAAG